TGAGGGAGAAGTAAATCTTTCCTTACCTAAGTTGTCAAGTGCAAACCAGAAGCCAAGGCTCTTGGGAGCTATTCCCTTGCCTTATCGAAGCTACTTCTATACTGTTTTTAGTGCATTTCTGTTTAAAGAAGACGGACTACAGAGAAATATAAACCACCTAAAATCTGTCTAAATAAAAATTATACGGGCTGCTTAGTTTTTTGTCAGCTTGATGTAAACCAGAATCACCTGGGAGGAGGGAACCTCAGCTGAGGAGATGCCTCCAGAAGACTGGTCTGTGGGCAAGTCTACAGGACATTCTCTTGATAAAAAATTGGCGGGGGAGGGCCCAGCTCACTGGGGACGGTGCCACCTGTGGGCAAATAGTCCTGGGTGTTATAAGAAAGCAGGCTGAGTGAGCCCCGGGGAGTCAGCCAGTGAGCAGGGCCCTCGGTTCCCTGACTTCCCTCAGTGGTGGATTCCAATTGTAGACTGAAGCAAACCCTTTCCTCCCCACGGTGCTTTTGGTCACGGTGTTCCTCACAGCGACCGAAAGCGAAGTAAAACAGGCACCAAATCAATGTCAGAATGACCCAGTACAAGCGTATAATGTAATTTGTGGGGCTCTGTCCTGCTCCTGAAGAGGGGATTAAGATGCTAACAGTAGATGTAGTTTCCACTCAATTTGCCCCAACATCTCTCACTCACTGTTCGTCATGTGACTCTCTTGTGGGTGTCTGGGACTTTGGGGGTATGCGTGCATCAACCAGTCCTCCAGGGCAGGAGATGCCAATGTGTGTCCCTCATCATGCACATAAATAGCATTGGAGGACTGGGAGATGTCACCTTTGCCTGAAGGTCTCTTTCCCTACCTAAGAATGAATCAGAGAGCGATTTAGGCCCAGGGAGGAACACTTAAAGCGATGGCTAATCCCTCCTCAGGCTGGAAGCGGCAGTCTGGTTTGATAATAGTCTATGTTTGTCAGGAGTTTCGGGCGAGTCTGGGCTCGTGAGGCTATTTATAGGAGACGCTGCCAGGTGTGTATCTGATGCCCAAGGGGTCTGCTGGGATAGATCAAGCCCAAGAGAAAAAGCCCTGCAGGGACAGTGGTTGCCGGTGGACAATTGGGGTTACGGCTGGGCCCCTGGCTCCACCTTTTCCTTTGCCCTGGCTCTGTGAACTTGCTTGCTCCACACCAAGCCTTGGGAACATTGTAAACCAAACCAGGAAGATCAGTTTTCCCAACTATGGTCATCTGGAGAAGGACAGGGTGAAATCTCTGCATTGGCCTAAGGCACTGAGGTCCTATCCAGCACTGAGGTCCTATCCAGCACTGAGGTCCTATACAGCACTGAGGTCCTATGCAGCATGAGGTCCTGTCCAGCACTGAGGTCCAACACTGAGGTCCTATGCAGCACTGAGATACTATGCAGCACTGAGGTCCTATGCAGCACTGAGGTCCTATGTAGCACTGAGGTCCTATGCAGCACTGAGATCCTATTCAGCACTGAGGTCCTGTCCAGCACTGAGGTCCTATCCAGCACTGAGGTCCTATGCAGCACTGAGGTCCTATGCAGCACTGAGATCCTATGCAGCACTGAGGTCCTGTCCAGCACTGAGGTCCTATGCAGCACTGAGATCCTATTCAGCACTGAGGTCCTGTCCAGCACTGAGGTCCTGTCCAGCACTGAGGTCCTATCCAGCACTGAGGTCCTGTCCAGCACTGAGATCCTATCCAGCACTGAGGTCCTATACAGTACTGAGATCCTATGCAGCACTGAGGTCCTATGCTGCACTGAGGTCCTATGCAGCACTGAGGTCCTATGCAGCACCGAGATCCTATGCAGCACTGAGGTCCTATGTAGCACTGAGGTCCTGTCCAGCACTGAGGTCCTATGCAGCACTGAGGTCCTATGCAGCACTGAGGTCCTGTCCAGCACTAAGATCCTATCCAGCACTGAGGTCCTATCCAGCACTGAGGTCCTGTCCAGCACTGAGATCCTATCCAGCACTGAGGTCCTATACAGTACTGAGATCCTATGCAGCACTGAGGTCCTATGCTGCACTGAGGTCCTATCCAGCACTGAGGTCCTATGCAGCACCGAGATCCTATGCAGCACTGAGGTCCTATGTAGCACTGAGGTCCTGTCCAGCACTGAGGTCCTATGCAGCACTGAAGTCCTATGCAGCACTGAGGTCCTGTCCAGCACTAAGATCCTATCCAGCACTGAGGTCCTACGCAGCACTGAGATCCTATGCAGCACTGAGGTCCTATGTAGCACTGAGGTCCTATGCAGCACTGAGATCCTATGCAGCACCGAGGTCCTATGCAGCACCGAGGTCCTATGTAGCACTGAGGTCCTATGCAGCACCGAGATCCTATGCAGCACTGAGGTCCTATGCAGCACTGAGGTCCTGTCCAGCACTGAGGTCCTATGCAGCACTGAGGTCCTGTCCAGCACTGAGGTCCTATGCAGCACTGAGGTCCTATGCAGCACTGAGGTCCTATGCAGCACTGAGGTCCTATGCAGCACTGAGGTCCTATGCAGCACTGAGGTCCTATGCAGCACTGAGGTCCTATCCAGCACTGAGGTCCTATGCAGCCCTATAAATTGATCAGGTTAAAATGAGACCATAGAGCACACAGGTATATTCAAATCATCTGGGAACCTAGGTCCAAAAACTCTGCAGTCACCCCCAAACCAAGGAAATGATGTAACTCCCTCACCTGGACCTCATAAAGTGATGGGCACATAACACTCCAGTGGCAAGGCCCCACACCAGCCTGTCATCTGAAACCTGGAGTGTGTGTCAAGGGGTGACAAGCGGGGGACTCCCCCACTGTCCCTGTAGCGTCTGTTCAGCTCTCTCCCTTGCCGTTGACCGGGCCTACTCCACTGCCTGCCCTTCCACGGGAAATTGGTTCCTGGACCCTTCTCGCTCCTTCTGCTCCCTGGTAGGAGAAGAGCAGCTCTGCCATGTGCCCCAAAGCAGCAGAGCCACACAACCACAGCCCACAGCCAGGACAAGTCCCACCCATTTATAAGTTAATCATCTAAGACCAAGACCGGCCCAGCTCACTGTGGGTGGCGCCACCCCTAGGCAGGAGGTCCTGAAGTGTGCAAGAAAACAGCCATGGGAAGCAGCCAGGAAGCAGCACTCCCCCATGGTCTCTGCTTCAGTTCCTGCCTCCAGGTTCCTGCCTCGGCTTCTCTCAATGAGGGACTGTGATGTAAGTGTAAGCCAAATAAACCTTTTCCTCTCCAAGTTGCTTTTGATCATGGTGTTTATGCCAGCGACAGGGAGCAAGCTAGGACAGTCATGAACTGATATCAAGGAAAGAATCTAATTTTCAGAATTGGAGTTCTCCTTGGGGTGGGTGGAGTGGAACAAAGAAGCTGGAATTGAGAGAGAGAGAGAGAGAGAGAGAGAGAGAGAGAGAGAGAGAGAGAGATCCAAACAAGCATTTAAACACAACAGAAACTCAAAATTTCACAAATAAAAGAATCTTAGCATATTCCAAGAGAGAGAAAAAGAAAATTAAGGCAAGGCACATCTTCATCCAGTTGCTTAGAACAAATGACCAGGGCAAAATCTTGGAACAGCTGGAGGAAAAAGCCATTAGCTACAGAGGCTGTAGATTGCTCAATTGAAGCTGTGGATTTCTTTCTCAATTGAAGCCACGCACATCTGAAGACCATGGAGTAACATCATTCAAACACCACAAAGAAAGATCGGGCAAAACAAAAACACGTTCAAACAATGAAAGCAAAACGAAGACTTTTTCCCTGAAAATTGAGGAATGCAACAGCAGCAGTCTGGTATTGTAACACTGTAGGACATTTGCAGGGGGGGTGGTTTCTATTTTTCATTCCAGAGGTTTCCACAAGAGAATTCAGAAAAGAGGAAATGTAAATGCTGGATAAAAGGCAAATACATTTTTTCTTCACTTTTCAAATATCAAAAAACTTTTTGTTTGTTTTCTAGTCGCTTCCATTTATTGCATGTGCATGTGTGTGCATTTGTGCCCAGATGAGTGTGAGCTCATGCATGTGCCATGTAGAGGTCATTTTTGCTGGAGTTAGTTCACTCTTTCCACAGTGTGGGTCTTGGGGATAGAACTCAAACTGCCAGGCTTGGTGGCAAGCACCTGGTCAATCATTTCTCTAGCCATCAAATATCTCTTTCAAAAACTGAAAAATAATGACAGTTTCATGGAAAGTACTAGCAATGTATTGTGGGGTTTATAACATAAATAGAATTAAAATGTAGGTCAATAATAACACAAAATCCAGGACAGATAAAAGGCAAAAACATTGCCATAGTATTCTGAAATAATACCAAAAAATGACATAGCCTTATTTGAAGTTGAACTGGGATAAATTTCAAATATATGTATGGTAAAGCCTGATTGACTGTTAAAAAGTGACAAAGAGCTCTAGATGATAAACCAAAAGCAGAGATGTATTGATTAGGACGCAGGCATGCTTGCACCATCAGCACTCAGAATCCAGTTTTTTATGAAGTAAAGTAGAAAAGATACAGACCTGTGCCTGCCCAACTGTAGCACATTATGTGAACACACAATAATAATACATAATAAAACAATTTAAGGCTGAGCGGTGGTGGTGCATGCCTTTAATCCCAGCTCTCAGGAGGCAGAGCCAGGCAGATCTTTGTGAGTTCGAGGCCAGCCTGGTCTACAGAGTGAGATCCAGGACAGAGACCAAAGCTACACAGAGAAACCCTGTCTTGAAAAAATAAAATAAAATAAAAATAAAAAGGCAGAGCTGCATGCATCACTGTGTCCTTTGTACTTTACCGTGTTCGTCTCCCACAGATTGTGAGACCATTTTTAAAAGCGAAAGCATACACTTTAAAATTAAAAGCAGGGTGATAACTGCCAATGATTTAACGAAGCAGTCAAGTTCATCCTACGTTTCTGAAATCAAAGTCAAAACATCGGTTCTGCTTCCAAACCCAAAGAAAAACAGGAAATGCCCAGCATAAAGAAGGCAACATCGCCTAGCATGTGGAAGGCCCTGGGTCCGAAAAGAAAAAAAGGAAAGAAAGAAAAGAAAAAGGGAGGGAGGCGAAAAGGGAGAGAAGAACAAAGACGGAGGGTGTTAAACTCCAGCTCCACCCCTGCCTTTTGTGGAGTCAATTCTCTCGTGTCAATCAAAGCAAGCTCAGTAACCAGAACAGAGGCGCCACCCGCTTCCTCCCTCCCATGACCCATTTGTCCTAATCTCCGTGTTTCTCCCTGATTGCCAGGAGGTGAGCACTAGACTTCACTGCTCCCTCCACTGAGCAGACTGTGACCAGGAATCTGCAGTTACTTCCCTCCAGAGCTGCCAGGGCTTTGGCTCCATGGGTGGTCCTGGGTCCTAACGCAGGTATTGTTCGCTGATGGTGGGGATCCTGATGGTGGGTATCAAGAGTGCTGGTGATGTCTTGGCTTAGAGCAGCGTAACTCGCCGGTTGTGGTGGCTTGCTTTTGCTTATGGCATTCTTTCTATAAGGACTCCAGTCACCTTGGCTTTGGACCCCACCCCTACCCATTGTAACATGAGCTCCGTAATTCTGGCGCAGGGAGTTTGGATTTCAGCAAATGGGGCTGAGGGATACCCAATTCAGACCACAATGAAGTCTGTCTCTACTGAGAGAAATCTGCGAGTGAGAAAATGGGGAAAAAGAGACATCATCAGTCATGTGAGTCAGGACTAAGGTGGCCTCTTCAGAGAACCTGGGGGCACTGCTCCGCCACGGCACTTCCAGTGGCTTGTGGAGAGGGGAAAGGAAGCAGAAAGGCATGAAGTGTGGTCCTCTGTGGCCCGATGAGGAGCTGGGCAAAGTGGTCCTTCAGGACATCCAAGGCCATTTCCCCAGCCCCAGCCACAAGCTGATCCGTGCACACGATTGTCCCACTGCATAGTCTCATAGTCTCACAAGTAGTTGACATTTTTCTAGAGTTGAGGACATGCCACTGTTTTCCTTAGACACACATTTGTCTAGAGCTAGACAGAATGTTCGAAAGCAGTGAAATAGATGACTGGGAGGTGAAACCAGGCTTGAGAGGTGTCAGCTCTGCTGATTTCACAAGCAGCCATGCTGGTTAATCTGGAATCGTGGGAAGGGTACAACGGGGGTGGGCTGCTACTCTCGACCTCCCTCAAAGCTCATGGTTGGTTGGTGTGTGCGTGTGCATGTGTGCGTGTGTGTGTGTGTGTGTGTGTGTGTGTGTGTAAGTGCTTGTATGTGTGTATGTGCATGCATATATGTGCAAGTGTGTGCGCGTGCGCGTGTGTGGGCGTGCACACCCATATGCACATGTATGGAAGCAAAGGTTGATATTAGGTACCCCCCTGTATTCCTCTCCACCTTACTTTCAAGGAAAGGTCTCTCAGTAGATCACTAACCAATCAATTAATTTGGTGTGCGTGTCCACACGTCACAATGCATGCACGGAAAGGAGAGGTCAGCTTTCGGGACTCAGTGCTCCCTTTACCACAAGGGCCAGAGGAAGTGCTTTTACCTACGAAGGCATTTCACCAGCCCTTGAGACAGGAGTCTCTTACTGACCCTGGGACCTGTCGTTTCAACTAAACTCACTGGCCAAAGAACTCCAGCAGTCCTCCTGTCCCCCACACCTCGACCCCAGCACAGGGGTGACAGACATGTACCAGCACACCTAGCTTTTCCACGGGAGCTGGGGATCTGGACTCAGGTCCTCACGCCTGAGCAGCAAGCACCCACTGAGCCCTCTCCCCAGCCCCTTCCCTGTTTCACATCAAAAGAAACGCCGGCCGCTGTCAGGTTTGTGGCTGTTGTGGCAGCAGGGTGGAGGTCTTGCTGGAGATTTACAACAGAGCTTTCCTGCTCAAGGCTAGCCACAGAGGCAGTCACCTTTTATTTTACTTTTTTTTTTTTTTTTCGTCTTTTTAACCCAGGCTGACCACTCTATGTTGGTAGACAATTCCAAGACCCTTCACTTGAACAGCTTAGATTTTCCGCTGCGTCAGTTGAGGTCTGTCGGGGAGCAGACGACTCAGCAAACCAGAGTGTTCCAGAATTATGGCGTGAAGGGGTGTTGTGACCAGGCTGTCCCTCGCCAGAAATTACCCCACATTGTATAAAACCGTGTTTTCCAGAACATGTCTTGTCCTGAGAGACTCTGTGTCACAAGCAGCTTTGGACTCCCTTTTGAGGATGAAGGACGACTGTTGGCCTTGGTGGACATGTGTAAGGCACCGTCTGTCCAGTGTCACCCACACAACACAGACTGACAAATTACTTCTTCCTGGGAAGAGAAAGGGTGTCAGTCACCTTGTAGTCCCGTCAGGAAACCCAGGACAGTAAAGGTTATCAGACACACTAGGCAAGGGGAGGGTGCGACTCCCGCATCTGGACCCTAATGCCTGATGGCAGTGGTCTCACCAACCTGTCATCTGGACGCCCCGTGTGTGTGTGTGTGTGTGTGTGTGTGTGTGTGTGTGTGTGTGTGTGTGTGTGTAGGCAGAGAACTCCTCACTGTCCCTGGGACCTCAGCTCAGTTCTGTCTCCACTGTCGAACGGCTGTCTGTCCATCCTCCCATTCACACATCTGGACCATCCATCCACCCAGTCATCCACTGGACTTGGCCACGCCCTTGGTCTCTGTGGCCTTCGGTGCACCTTGCTCCTGTGGCTCGACCCTGCCCTTGCAGCCTGACTGTGTGCAGCCAATAGCCAGAGCGGCCTCTCCACTCACTCGGTGAGGTGTGTCAGCTTATCCCAGAGTCTTCCCTGCCTCTCTGGGCTCCCTCATCTTTAACCCTTGGTAGCTCTTCTGTAATCTCCATATGGACACAGTAGGCAGGTAGGCTTACTGTGCGATGTGTAATGTATAATCCAAGAGTTAATATTAGTGATGATTGAAACGTGAGAACAGTGTTTCCCCTGGCCACCTTGTGAATTTTTTTTTCTTCCCAGTAAATTCTAACATTGTGGGAAGACACAGACAGATCATCTATGTTCCTGACGTGGTGAGCTCGTGACAAGAGGTCAAGATGATCTGAAGGGGGTGTGGGAAATGACCACCTTGGGCTAAGGACCGCAGGAAGCCACCACTCCCCCCTCTGGTCTGATGGGACAAGACATGACAAGTTCGGCTCCTTCCCTGGACAGGTGACATGGACAGGTGTAACATCTGGAAACACCTCCAGGCAAAACATCTGGAAGGAGGAATTAACACCTCCCCCCAACTTCTCCTCATGTGGAGCAGAATTTGGAGGGAAGGGAGGAAGGGGGCTATAAATAACTGAGCAAATGAGTTAAAGACATGAGCCTGCCCGGCCAGCAGTCACTCAAACAGTTAAGGCAATTTCCTTCAGCTGGCCTTTCCCTAAGGTCAAATTTGTTTATGGATAATTCCAGAATCCCTCCCAAAGACACCCACTAAAGCCTCTCCGCCCTCAGAGCGCTGCCTGTCCTCTTTCTCATTCTAGAAGGCATCTGAGTCTGGGGCAGTGGACTTGCTCAGAGTCTCTCTTCCCAGCCTCCAGCAGGTACGACTGCGGAAGGGGCTGGGCAGGGCCCAGGTAGCCCGGATCTACTGCGCAGGTATCTAGGACCTTAGGGCCCCCGTCCTACAGGGAAAACAGCAGCAATTTTCCAGAACAGGGCACAAGTGACCCTGCTGTGGGTGACGTTAGGGCCTGTGTGTCACAAACAGTCAAAAGGAAAAATCAAAACCCCTCACTAAAGAACACAAATGCCCCGATCCCTCAGCAACCTGCACCCTAAATGTTCACTCCCAGAGCTAATGAGAGCCCCTCAGACCTGAGGAAGGCATGCTGTCTGATGGGAGGGGTGTGTCACCACTGTAAACACCAGTGACTCTGGAAAAGCTACTTCAGAGTTTGGCCCCACTGAGCTACGGATACTTCTAGACAAAAGAAATTAATTAACTTGTCAAGTCCTTCCTCCCAGCATAAATGCAATCAGTTCTTGCCCCACAAACCTCATTTCCTGGGGGACAGACACCTGTCTCTTCCCTCTTCCTTACATTCCCATCCCTGGGCCCAAGGCTTCTGCAGCAGCTGTGCAGGGAAGGGGACGTGCCCACACATGTGTGCATGCACACGTGTGTGTGTGTGTGTGTGTGTGTGTGTGTGTGTGTGTGTGTGTGTGTGTGCAGGCTGCAGCTTCACACGTGGGAAGCTAAGACTGACCCTCAGCCCTTCAAGATGGATACTGAATTCTGGAGTTTCAAACGGCTTTCTGTTCAGGAGAGCATTTAACAAGATGTATTCACTCCCTCGGAAATGTAAATTAAATCCAAAGCCTTATTTAAATCACTTTGACTTACGGTTTTCATATTCATGAACTGTAACCTAGTTTGGATTTTCATAGGAAACCCCGTATATTTTAGGAGAAAAAAATAGCCTTTTTGAAAACCTAAATTCATTGTCATTTATATTTCTGATGAAAATACAAAAAGGTTGTACATTTTGAATATAATTGCCTATTTTTTGCCCCTTTCAATCATTGTGTTTGAGGGTTCCTGGGGCTGTTACCCATAAAAGATGTATAAACACAGAACTCAAAAAAGAATATAAAGGGAGCTAGAGCGATGGCTTAGGGGTTAAGAGCACATATTGCTCTTCCAGAGGACCTAAGGTCAGTTGCCAGCACCCACACTGGGCAGCTCATAACTGCCCATAACTCCAGCTCTGTAGAAACCTACATTCGTGTGCACATTCCCCCAAAAAGACACATACAATACACATAATTCAAAATAGAGAGGGCATAGACGAGGCCATCCTTGAGGGGCCCATATGCTTACATTTTGAAAAACTTGAATCAGTGGAATTCAGCACCCATCTGGGGATTCTGGACCACTTAGCAATTATAGGCAGACGTAGCCGATTATTTACTATAAGTTTAACAACCAATAAGCAAGACAACTAGTCCAGTAGGTCATCCAGTCAGTAAGATCCTGGAAACCTCGTATTGTTTCACTGTGGCATGGTGGACTTTCCTTTCTGCTTTTGTGGGAGTCCATAACTGTTAGCAGCCTGCCTTGTGTGAGGACTGTGGGTACAGACCACCAAGACATCCAGCAGTGGAGGTCAGGTGGACTGTAAAAAGGAGCCTAGCAATGTCCTCTGTGTCAATGTGGCCAAACTACCTGAGAGGAATGATGGGCCCTCAGTTCCAAAAAGTTCAGTCTGTGGTAGTTGGGGAGAAGATCTCGGTTGCAGGGAATATCTGCAGGAATAGCAAAGGAATATCCCACACCATGACGGACCGAAAGCTGATAGAATGACAGCAAGGGACTACATCACCGTCATGGTAGGAATGAAGATTCTCCTAAGACACACACACACACACACACACACACACACACACCCTGGCCAGGAGACCTTCCAGACAATGGTCCCATATTCTTTCTCTTCTGTGGGTGTGACAAAGCACCATTGCCATCACAGAAGAATTTATTTTGGCTTGTGGTTCCGAATGGATAAGAGTTCATCATGGCAGCAGGCAGCTGGAACAAAAAGCTGACAGATTAATTACATTTATAGCACGCATGGGCAGCAGAGAGAGGGAGGGAGGGAGGGAGGGAGGGAGGGCGGGAGGGAGGGAGGGAGGGAGGGAGGAAGGGAGATGGGGATAAGGCTACAAGCCCTCAAAGCCGACTTCCAGTGATGTGCTTCCTCCAGCAAGACTGCACCACCGCCCCAGACAGCGCCACCAACTGGAGACTGAGTGTTAAATTACCTGAGCCTCTGGGGACATTTCTCACTCAAACCACAGTAATCCCCAACAAAACTGGAATTTTTCCCAGGAATCTGATATTGGGAGAAGGAAAAGGCTGGGTTCCTAGGGCATCAGGAGGGAGTGCTTGTCTCTCAGGAAGAGATCTCACACAGTTCTGATGACTTGCCGGAACACCTTGCAGGAGAGACTGCTTCCGAGGAGCTCATGGGTCAATGATGGGCAGGACCACACATTAACCCAGTTAGGCATGCTTCTCTTTAAACCTAAAGCTCGTGTCAGGGCCCAGAAAATGAACTTGGCATGTGATATGGTGGGGTCACTGGATCTCTTTGTTTGTTCCTCTTCTCAGTGTGGACACACTGAGTAAATCTCCTTTCTCCGCCTTTCCCTATTATTTACCTGTTTGTGTGGCTATAAGGACATGTGATTCACACTAGCTCCCTAGGGTTGACAGGGCCCAGACCCTGTCCCTAACAGCTCTGGAGACACAAAGATAGCACAGTCCAGGAGCCTGCTCTACCTGGAGCTCACATCCTCCCAAAACAGCGCCCCCACCTGGAGACAACCCTCTGAGCACATGAGCTTTGTTTGACTGGAAACATTTGACATCCAAACTATTAACAGAGTCCTAAACAAAACTTTAATGGTTTTAAAATGTGAACTGCAAGCCATCAGCCTGTCCACACCCCAGAGACAGGAGGGAGGAGCCTGTCCACAACCCAGAGACAGGAGGGAGGAGCCTGTCCACACCCCCAGGGACAGGAGGGAGGAGCCTGTCCACAACCCAAAGACAGGAGGAAGGAGCCTGTCCACACCCCAGAGACAGGAGGGAGGAGCCTGTCCACACCCCCAGGGACAGGAGGGAGGAACCTGTCCACACCCCAGAGACAGGAGGGAGGAGCCTGTCCACACCCCAGAGACAGGAGGGAGGAGCCTGTCCACACACCAGGGACAGGAGGGAGGAGTCTGTCCACACTCCAGAGACAGGAGGGAGGAGCCTGTCCACACCCCAGAGACAGGAGGGAGGAGCCTGTTCACACACCAGGGACAGGAGGGAGGAGCCTGTCCACACACCAGAGACAGGAGGGAGGAGCCTGTCCACACCCCAGAGACAGGAGGGAGGAGCCTATCCACACCCCAGGGACAGGAGGGAGGAGTCTGTCTACACCCCAGAGACAGAAGGGAGGAGCCTGTCCACAACCCAAAGACAGGAGGAAGGAGCCTGTCCACACCCCAGAGACAGGAGGGAGGAGCCTGTCCACAACCCAGAGACAGGAGGGAGGAGCCTGTTCACACACCAGGGACAGGAGGGAGGAGTCTGTTCACACACCCAGAGACAGGAGGGAGGAGCCTGTCCACACCCCAGAGACAGGAGGGAGGAGCCTGTCCACACCCCCAGGGACAGGAGGGAGGAGCCTGTCCACACCCCCAGGGACAGGAGGGAGGAGCCTGTCCACACCCCCAGGGACAGGAGGGAGGAGCCTGTTCACACTCCAGAGACAGGAGGGAGGAGTCTGTCCACACTCCAGAGACAGGAGGGAGGAGCCTGTTCACACACCAGGGACAGGAGGGAGGAGCCTGTCCACATTCCAGAGACAGGAGGGAGGAGCCTGTCCACACACCAGGGACAGGAGGGAGGAGCCTGTCCACACCCCAGAGGCAGGAGGGAGGAGCCTTCCACAACCCAGAGACAGGAGGGAGGAGCCTGTCCACACCCCAGAGACAGGAGGGAGGAGCCTGTCCACACCCCCAGGGACAGGAGGGAGGAGCCTGTCCACACCCCTAGAGACAGGAGGGAGGAGCCTGTCCACACACCAGGGACAGGAGGGAGGAGCCTGTCCACACCCCAGAGACAGGAGGGAGGAGCCTGTCCACAACCCAAAAACAGGAGGGAGGAGCCTGTCTGCACACCAGGGACAGGAGGGAGGAGCCTGTCCACACACCAGGGACAGGAGATGCCACCTCATGCTTGAACACACAGTGTCAAGGAGTTCTCCAAAGCGACAGAAGGGAAGCTGGGGCTTTGAACCACTGGACGTTTTGGTGAAAGTGGCAGGTGTGACTAAAGATGCACACCAGGTGACCTGACCTGCAAGGAGACAGTCCTGCACACCACAGAGGACTGGCTTCCCAGCCCGCTGGAGGAAGGACATCTCTGACTCCACCATGACTGGAGCTGGAATGTAATCCTGGGGATGGCTCCCTCTCCGCCTGCTCCTGATGACCAGGTCCCTCCTGCCCACTCCCCCTCCTCCTCTCTCACGGCCCCCTCCTCTCTCATTGCCCTTCCCCCTCCTCGCTCACTGCCCCTCCCCCTCCTCCTCTCTCCCCTCCCTTCTTCTCTCCTTTTCTGTAACTCTGGTTTCATGTGAGTTTAACCGAGGATCTGTTTTGAAAGTGGCAGTATTTGGATGAAAAGAAATTTAAAGAAGAGAGTATGGGGGCTGGAGAGATGGCTCAGTGGTTAAGAGCATTGACTGCTCTTCCAGAGGTCCTGAGTTCAATTCCCAGCAACCACATGATGGCTCACAACCATTTGTAATGAGATCTGGTGCCCTCTTCTGGCCTGCAGTTATACATGCTGTATACATAAAAAATAAATAAATCTTTAAAAAAAAAAAAAAGAAGAGAGTGTGTATGTGTGTGTGTGAGTGTTTAAGTCATGACGAATGTCATCATTCTGGGGGAAATAAGCTCGTGTTGGAGAGACTGGGAAATGGCTGCCTGCGGCATCTGGGGTGTAAATGTGATTTCCTGAAATTATAGTTGGTGGAGTAAAATAATTTAAACTAGAAAATGTCTTAAAAAGAAGGAGCTGAAGCCGCAGATGCGTGGCAGTCTCACTGACATATAGAAATAGAGCATTTAAAATTAGCTTAGCATAAAAATAGTCAGGGATAAGGGTTAGTTTGCTATCGATGTATCCCAAGGCTTGACTCAGTTTCTAGCTGGAAAAATGGATCATGTGACCAGCTTCCTCCAAAGCCTCAGCTCTCAGAACCAGTGGCTGCAGCCTGTTGACACTCATACACCTGACCCAGCCACCAACCTTGGCGTATCAGCCACCAGGAGCCTTGGGGCCTCGGCCTATGGGCTGTGTACCTGTCCAGGCAAATTGCTTAGGGTCCTCATCACAGCGCCTGTCCCCTTCCTTTACCAGTCCAGAATCCCTCGGAGCTGTACATTTTATTATCTTCATGATGGTCAGTGTTGTCGGCATAACTGAGTCTATACTCACCCAGGAGACAGGCCTCTTGTCATGCCTGAGGGGGGTTGTGTTGATTGGAGGATTGAGGTGGGAAGACCCTCCCACTGTGGGTGGAGCCACTCCCTAGTAGGGATCCTGGATTGTGTAAGTAGAGAAGGGAGGCTGAGCAGCGGCATGCATTTACCACCACGGGGCAGGGTTCACTGTCCTCCTAGCCAAGAGACTGCCAGTGTTCCATCACTCCCCTGCGAGGAGAAGGAGGCAAGGCACAGCAGTTCCCAAACCTAACCAGAGGCGGGTCTCAGTCCTACAAAGGAACTGATGCCCGCTGTCAGCAGTCCAAGTAGCTCCCGTGCTCTGCGTGAT